CCGGTTTTTTACTAACATGCAATCATGTCAAGTGTTAACCAGTGGGCACTCGCGTCAAGGTAATGCATGACAGCAATACACAGATGGTTGAAGGGCTTTCGCCGTTCCCCTTCAGCAATTAGATGGAACGCCACCGAAGATCTTGGTAGTCGAACTGAGGTACGGACAGGGTTGACTGCCACGACGCAAGGACAGCTGAAAGTCGTGAGCGCCCAAGCACGCATGTGCGTGTTGGTGAGAGAGTGAAACGGTTAGATACGACATCTGCACTATCCTCGTTGAGAGGGAACAGAATTGAATCCGAACATCAACCCAACTGTGTGGTAGGGCTTAAGATTTCTAATGCTCTCCCGTCTGTTGATCTTCTCTCTAGCTGCCGGCTACACCCTAGCGTTCGGCGGTAAGTCCGACGAGACAACAGCGGCTCCTACTCCTAAGGTGGCGACTACGCCTGACGGAACTACAGCGGCTCCAACTCCTGACGTGGCGACTACCCCTGACGAGTACTGTGAGGATTATTGCTCTGAGACTTCGGGATGTGGACAGTCCTATTGCAAGGCGGATGGTCACTGCTTTGGACTATATCACAATGGTGACTCGAAGTGTTATCAGTCCGACGACGAGGAAAATACTTGCGATTCATTCGAGCCCGTGAGATGCCTCGAATCCCCTCCATCGACCTGTGATGATGCTTGTTACTCCGTTGATGGTTGTAGGACCTCTGAACTTGGAACCTACTGCAAGTTTTGGTTGGATGATCCAGTGTGTTATGGCATCCTCAAGAAGAATGACGGCAGTTTGTGCTTTGTGGCGACTGATGAGGCATGCGAGGGTGATCTTTACCCCTGTGGTTCCCAAACTGAGACACCAATCGAGACCACTGAGACTCCGGTCGAGACCACTAAGGCTCCGTTCGAGACCACTGAAGCTCCTTTAGAGACCACTCAGGCTCCGGTCGAGACCACTGAATCTCCGGTCGAGACCACTGAGGGTCCAGTCGAGACCACTGAAGCTCCGGTCGAGACCACTAAGGCTGCGTTCGAGACCACTAAGGCCCCGGTCGAGAACACTGAGGCTCCGGCCGATACGACTGAATCTCCGGTCGAGACCACTGAATCTCCGGTCGAGACCACTGAATCTCCGGTCGAGACCACTCAGGCTCCGGTCGAGACCACTGAATCTCCGGTCGAGACCACTCTGGCTCCGGTCGAGACCACTGAATCTCCGGTCGAGACCACTCAGGCTCCGGTCGAGACCACTGAGTCTCCGGTCGAGACCACTGAGGCTCCGGTCGAGACCACTGAGGCCCCGGTCGAGACCACTGAGGCTCCGGTCGAGACCACTGAGGCTCCGATCGAGACCACTGAGTCTTCGGTCGAGACCACCGAGGCCCCGGTCGAGACCACTGAAGCTCCTGCAGAGACCACTGAAGCTCCGGTCGAGACCACTGAAGCTCCGGTCGAGATCACTGAAGCTCCTGTAGATACTACTGAAGCTCCTGTAGATACCGCTGTGGCACCGGTCGAGACCACAGAGGCCCCGGTCGAGATCACTGAAGTTCCGGTCGAGACCACTGAAGTTCTGGTCGAGACCACTGAAGTTCCGGTCGAGACCACTGAATCTCCAGTCGAGACCACTGAATCTCCGGTCGAGACCACTGAATCTCCGGTCGAGACCACTGGGGCGCCGGTCGAGACCACTGAGGCACCGGTCGAGACCACTGAGGCTCCGGCCGATACGACTGAATCTCCGGTCGAGACCACTGAAGTTCCGGTCGAGACAACTGAAGCTCCGGCCGATACCACTGGAGCTTCTGTAGAGACCACTGAAGCTCCTGTAGAGACCACTGAAGCTCCTGTAGAGACCACTGAAGCTCCTGTAGAGACCACTGAAACTCCTGTAGAGACCACTGAAGCTCCTGTAGAGACCACTGAAGCTCCTGTAGAGACCACTGAAGCTCCTGTAGAGACCACTGAAGCTCCTGTAGAGACCACTGAAGCTCCTGTAGATACCACTGGAGCTCCAGCCGAGACTAGCGAAGCTCCGGT